CCAAATGCCTCTGGCTAAACTGATTTTGACCGAGAGCGATATTTGTGTACGTTCGCACAAATTAAACCATCTGAGCATGTTGTGGTCAGATGAGATGCATCCATGCATCCCATAGAAACCATCTTACACATAGGCCAAACGTCTTAATATGATCTTTCGTGAGTTGCTTGCCTTCTTGTGCCCGAAAGAAGGCGATTGCATTAGCGATTTACAAACTTGAAGATCGCTTTCTGCCGCACAGCGTAGGTTCTTTGGCCTCACAGGCATCACTGAATTTGGTGGAATCGATTCTGAGGCGGACCAGCCTAAATGCCCATAATACCGGCGACTTGATTTCCCGGTTGATACACGGATTCCTCTCAGACCCTTCTTGGGCGTGCAACATGCTAACGTTCGTGATCAGGTTAACAGGGGAAAAAAGATAGAAACTTATGTTTGGCGCCGATAGCGGAGGCAAGCCTTTCTGATCGAAGACTTCAATTCTACTTGCTGCTTGTGGAGCCGTTTCGTTGCAATTTGCTACAGCTTTTTTAAAACAAGACCGAGTTCCATCAGTTGGGATAATGCTTGCTGCCGTGCACAGCATGGTCTCACTTCATTCTGTGTTCTGGCATACAATAGTTTATCGCGATGCTGCTTTGTGGGCTGTCGCAGTATGGCGTCTTGCTTGGCAGGTCTCTTGGCCACGTCAATAGTCACTGTGAAAGTGCGAATTGTTTCCCATCCCTAAGTGGTTTGCTTTTGGCACCAAGGGGGTTGTTGCGATTGGGGTATATTCTGGTTCAAGCATTCCTGCATCAGACTGACGCGGCCACCACTCGGAGCTGGTGATAGGCTCGTAGTTTGTTTCGAAGTGACCTCTAGCAAGCGGAGTGATCCGTCGTTAGGGGCAGTTGGCGGTCTGCAAACGAATTCCCTTTTCCGGTTAAAACCGTTAATGAGTGGGCCAGTAAAGCAGACCTACATCTTAAAGTGCTTATGGAAATTTTTGATCGCAAATACCATCTTGTAATGTTTCTTTTCTATCCGACTCTATTCGCGGCTGTCTTACTGGAGCTACCTGGACGCCTAATAATCGTTATTTTGCTCCATTATCAGAATACAATGCGGGTTCTCCACATCAATTTGGATGCTGAGCTGCCGATTCTGCGGCGAGTTTGACTGACTGTTGTTGATTTTCTTCGGATTTTGTAGGTGATCTTTCATTCGTGATTTTTTTCAGTTGGCTAGTGATCATTTTTACCATTTCCAGGTTTCCGTGAATAAATGTTTGTTTTTGTGGATCTCGGAAGCATTAACTAGCCAGCGCCTGTATGGTGCATATGCTATCGGTGAAAGGGCGCAGGCATTGCCGTGGATTTATTTATTATAAATCGCCAGCTGGCCAGTAACACACTTTTGGACAAGGAAGCAAAACGGTCACATGTATCTTGTTCACAAACACTGAATTCTTGAATGGGTCCTCCTAAACTTCGCTGAATATTCATTGAGTGTGGTTCAAGTCCGGACAAGTGCCACAAAGCAACCTCAAAAAGCAACTCCCTTTTCAAGAGACGCAAAGCGAATTCACAGAAAGAGAAAATGCCACTAGCATGCCTTCTCATCAGTCGTATCGCCGCTAGGTCGGGACTTTGGGGTGCTGTGTAGTTTGTTACGGATTCATTTTTCATTACTTACGCTAGATACAAACTACCTCCAAGGATTGCCTCGATCCGTCTGGTTGGAGCCGATGATTATTTAGTAGCAGAAGAATCGGAGGGCTTAGGGCATCCGCCAGCAGCTCTCTACCACTTTTTAAAACTAATAATGCTGCTTCCTACTTTCCGATTTGCAGTGCACTGCGCCGGTATAAATAGCTGGAGTATCGTTGATGATATCTCCATATTCCTCCGAGGCTTCGACACACAGGAACTCCCCACGCAAAAGAATCGTCGCAAATCTTTTGCCGCGTTTATTTTCTCGACCGAGTCCTCTGAAACACATAAAGCTTGGAACATAATATCTTGCTGGTATATGTGCATCGCGTTACGCCGATCTCAAATTCACTCACAGGGTCACGTTTCCGACGGAAAGTTCGGGCGTCATGTCAAATGAAGAGGTAATTGCAGACTGGTGACGCAGAATCAGGTAAATAGGCACCGCAGCACACACTGGAACTTGACTGGTTCCTCCGGCAACATTTCGGACCATTCAGAGTTTGTGATTGGTGGACAGGCAAACGTCACAACATTTTGGCTTGCACGGCTCCAAACTGGGTCCCATTATTTGCACAATGCTCCTAGTTGCAAAACCTTTACGAGCGGAGTAAAAATTCTCGAACAGCGATTTTTCATTTTGCTGCGTATATGCTCAAACCAAAAGCCATTCTGATCTGTGTTCTTATTTTTTCAGCTCACCAATTTTCATTGTTCACTGAGGTAAACATAACTCTCTCGGTGGAATGCCTCGGATGGAATAATTTTCAAGCATAACTGAGACCCCTGGAAGCATAAAATGGGGCTCAAAAGTTTGGACTGGTACTATTTACTCAACTGCCTTGTGACAATCAGAATGCTGGCCCGTCCATGGATTGCATACGATTCATGCACAAGCCAGCATTCTGATTTGTTGGTTGCGCACTGGGCAGAAAGCGCGCGCGGACAAGTGGTTTTGTGCACAGGCGCCGCTGGCCATTCACACAATGAGATTGATTTCTCGAAATCTACCGCATTTTCAGACTTGCCACTTCATAGTGTAGAATGTCTATGTATTATGTATATGCTCCTGTATTATTGAACATCGTTTACCATCGCCATTTATTTAAGTGAGCGAATTCCCAAGGTCAATAAACACTGCTGACTCTGAATACGTTACCTGATGATGAATAATCGCGAATTGTGGAAAAGGTTGACCCACATACAATGAACGTAACTTTCAGGCATTTTTCCATCGGGAAAAATTTCCTCAACATTCTAGAGTCTAAATGGCTTTTGGAGATGCAACATATGCGTAGGCGCATTCGTGCAAACAAATTTTGGCCGATTATTCTCTGTTGCCAGTAAAAATACCGTAGTGCACGCTAATTATTTGATAAGCATCGTGCACATTTGCTGGAAAAAATCACAGTTTTTCATTATAGGTTGCAAATTATACTAGAAAGACCTCGAGGTTTATCGATGTAAACCGACGCACATCACTAACATGCGGCCAAGGGTACACGATGCTTAACTGATTAGCCACGTAGAACCTACGTCGATAATACCAGACAGCTGAACAATCTTGAACGACATACCACTAACATGCGGCCAGGGGTACACAATGCCCAAATAACCAGCCACATAGAACGGACGTTGATAATACCAGACAGCTGAACGATCTTGACCGACGCACACATCTAACATGCGGTTAGGTTTAAGCGATGGCTAACTAACTAGCCACATTGAGCCTACGTCGATATTACCTGACAGCTGAACAATCTTAACCGACGCACATCACTAACGGGCGACTGGCGGTACACGATGCCTAAATAACTAGCCACATAGAGCCCACGTCGATAACACCAGACAGCTGAACAGTCTTAACCGACGCACATCACTGACAGGCGACTGGTGGTACATGATACCTAAATAACTAGCCACATAGAGCCTAGGTCGATAATACCGGACAGCTGAACGATCTTAACCGACGCACACGACCAACATGCTGCTAGGGGTACGTGTTACGGCTTTCTGCTTTCTAACTTTGAGTCACGCGCGCCAATCCGGAAAAACGACCAAGATATCCGAATTCTGGAATCACGGTACTATTGCAAATACAATAATATACGTATAAAACAAACCTCAACGGATTCTCCTCCGCAGATACCGTAGGGTTACAAAATAAGGCGGTACGATTACCAGCCTGGGGATAAAGCGCAGATCACTACGCCTCAGAAACAATATTGTCACAACCAAACAGATATCGACGGCGAGCAACCGCAAAATCACAATGTCCGACCAAAGTCCGCAAGAGTTATGAAAATAGTTCAGTAAAACAAGGTTTCAGTTCATCTGGTCAAGGGAAATAAATATGGGGATTGGCTGTCACTTGGGGTTGGAAAAGGTAGCACACTGTTGGCAAGCTGTCTTCTACAGTACACGATGCTTAACTAACAAGCCACATAGAGATTACGTAGATAATACCAGACAGCTGAACGATCTTATCCGACGCACACGTCTAACATGCGGCTAGGGTACACGATGCTCAACCAACTAGCCACGTAGAACCTACTTCGATAATACCAGACAGCTGAACGATCTTATCCGACGCACACGTCTAACATGCGGCTAGGGGTACACGATACCTAACCTAAATAACTAGCCACACAGAAACTACGTCGATAATACCAGACAGCTGAACAATCTTAACCGACGCACACAACTGACATGCGGCCAGGGGTACACAATGCCTAACTAACTAGCCACATTGAGCTCACGTCGATGATACCAGACAGCTGAACAATCTTAACCGACGCACACCACTAATATGCGGTTAGGGGTACACGATGCCTATCTCATCCACCCATGGGTAACGGAGAAGAGGCTCAAAATGGTCGTCTTGAAATTTTGAGATATATTAGTCGTTCTGAAGTTTACATACGTCCTTCTGTGAGGTGCGTTTTCTTCTTCGCGAGGGGCGTTCATTTGGCGGTTGAAGTCCTGAAATGCGAGGAAGATATACTTCAGGTTATCGAAATATCACCATAAGGCGCGCGGCCGACAAACAGGTAGAGATACTTACCCCAAAATTCACTGCAGCCACTATGGTGTCGTAGATGCCTGTTCACACAATGCCATCTTCAGCGGTTATTTCGCATGCCTGTTTACTGAACCCCTCAAGAAATACGAGACACATGTAATGCATAGGACCTCATTAACGGACAAACTTTTCGGAGCCGATGGGTCACACGAAATCATCTTCGTCTCTTTCATCTAGCTGGTGCTCTACAGAGTTAGTAGTATTTGTCAGACATTGACTCACGGCTGTCGAGTAGTTCCTCTGTGGACCAGAAAACACGGACGCACACAGACATACGGGACACACTGTGCTGGGAATCTGTGCTTCGTCAACATCATAAGACGCCCTCTTTGTGGACGGGGTAGCAAGCATACCTCTGCGTTTTCTGGATGGGCCCTGAGCTAAGAACCAAAAGTGATTTATTTTCATGTGGACATGGGACAAGCCGGCGGTCGCGGACAAAAGTGCCTCAAGAACGAGACAGCATGCTTATGTCATCATTCGACAGACCACGTCTAGAACGTAGGCGTCACCCTCCAGGATTTGCCGCATGGCGCAGTGGTAGAAGTATGCATCTCGAACTCCCGCATGAGCCACTCGGCCTGCCGGGACACCTTTTGAATGGCACGCTTCAACGAGTCGGAGTGGTGCACCCGATCTTCAAGGCGCCGTTTGCATTCTCCAGTTGGTTGTTGGTCACATTACCGAAATGAACCATTCCGGACTGTGCGTGTATGGAACATTTTCGGGTGGTGTACAACCAACGAGCCGTAAGATAGGAGAGAAATCGGGGATCGGTTCGGTGCAGAAGCCCTAGATATTGTCGGAATATGTGTGCTTGTAACATGATGAACATAAAACCTACTGTACAGCATTGTCCAGGCGAGCCATGCGGTGAAACATGCGCCGGCTGTTCGCAGAAGGTGTCTATGACCAAAAATACATGGATATTAAATGATACATACGCGCTTCCTGATGGCTTTGCGGACATGAAAGTAACAAAGCATAATGTCACAGCTGAAAACTACTCTTGCCGCAGGCATGTGCGCCGCTAGCTTGTCCAGTACAAAGGTCCTGACCGGATACGCTTCGCTCATCATTTCTTTGAATAAGCCGAACAGTTTACGCATGGGAGGAAACTGCTCGCACTCTGCCAACGCATACATAACCGGATGCCCGGCTCCCATGCCGTCCGTTATCAAGAATTTGCAAAGTTTGTATCTAAATAATAAAGCGTCTAGCTGTAGCATCCTTTCGGTGGCTAGCTGCCATGCCACACGAAGGAAGCACGGGGGCTGAGATACTACCAGGTTACCCAAGCCTTCACAGGGGAAGTTCAAAGGCGGATGTCGGATTCGAACCGCCGACCTTCTGGTTAGAAAATTCGCGCTGTAACCATTTGGGCCATCTCGACCCTCATATCTAAATGCCGAATATTAGATGCCTTAAAAAACTTACACAAGGCGGTTTACTGCATGTGTCCCGTCCACAGTTACTACATCTGGAAAGCGTCGGAATAAAGCCATCTTATGCCATCGGGAGAAACATATGTGGCTTTAGTTACCTTCCTCCCCCTGACACACAAAAACGCGTCCGGTCTCTCTCCAGGACCGGAGGCATATCATCTGCTATATTAAAACCCAACTATTCGGCACCTACTCAACATAGCTGGTTGACAATTCCGGCGGTAGTTGTGTATATCCTTAGTGGTAAGAATATTTCCGAATTCATCCGCCACAAACCGCCGCACCTCAGATGACGGCGTTCCATATCTCAGCAGGGCCTGGCATGTGCCCAACTCATCTTTGGTTAGGCGTCGATTGACTGAAAGCCGATCGCACAGAAACTTTGACAGTTTGTGGTTGTGTTCCAGAAAACAAGAGGTTACTGAAGGTTGGTTCCTTCGCCTCCTTAGACAAAACCACACTGGACGGCTGGTGCTTCGCGTACTTTTTTATTAGAAAATACGCTCGGTTTACCAGCTTCTCCGGATTCCATGGCTTTCCGTTGGTTTGGAGGGCACCTGCTGCATTTGTAGTACACCCATTCGTAGCGCAAAAGTGTTGGCGCTTCGATTACTGGATGAAAGCAAAAATATCACAAAGTTATCCTTCACGTATTCATTTAAGTTCTTCTCAAACGCCGTGATGGATGAAAACGATACACGCACAAATTTCTCAAAGAAAGACACTTCCAAAGCCATAGCAGACGACGTTCAAAGCCGAATGTGCGCCAATAACGTTCAGAAGAGATCCAATAAAACAAATCGCAAAAAATGCGGCAGATGAGGGGGTTTTCAGTCTACGCATATAGGCAAAGAAGTGTAACATTTTGACGTTAAAGTTTTTATTTCGCCCGCAAAGATTTTGCAGAAAAACGCATTGTGCTTCTAGCCGTTGGCTGCACAGGCCAGGAAAAAAAGCAATCATGCAACATGCGGCGTCATTCACATTCTGATTGGTTGATACCTAGAGGGCGGTACGTTTACAAGCGGCAAAATGGCGGATTTGTCGTTTATGATTGATCCTCTCAAAAGAAGCATAGACTTATCATGCGGTTGCGTCTTTTGTAAATTTAATTGGTTAACAGCATCCCAAATGCAATAAATGCAAAGTGTGCGCTTCCCGGTAGCTTAAGATAGCGACGTAATAATTGCAGTGGACTAGGATCTTATCAGCGT